GGGTGCGGGGGCTCCCTGCGCTACGATGTCTTTGTTCACGTAGCAAGGCCTGGTGGCCCTGCTGCTCGGGACCGGTTCTCAGAAACCCAGTGAAATAGTGCATTAAATATTACACCCAAATTGACACTCTGACTTGAGAAACATCTTTGTTATTTACCTGCTGCTGTTATTGACTCTGTTTCTTTCAGAAACGACGTTTTGTTGTCAACAAATCTGTTGCTTAATACACACTGTCACAGAATCCAGCCTGAAGAACAATAAAAAATATAACTAGGCATCGTAACAGACTTTTGCTATTAAATAAGACCTGCAGCCTGTATATGAACCTCCCAGCCTGAGCATGCAAGAGTTTTAGTGTTAAATTTCTGGCTCTCTCTTCCTCGTGTGCTGTTGATTCAGTCCCTGTAGATGTATATCAGGTTTGATGCAGTCATACTTTGTATTGCGTTATTTAACACGCCAGCAGCCGCAGTGTAGGATGCTGGATATACACCCTCCAGTTGCTGCACACTGAGGGAAATGTGAAGAAAGTTCTTTAACTCACTGTCTGTTCACTGTGAACTTAGGATATTGCTTAAAATATCCTATCTTTCTTTATCTTATGCCCATTTCTGCTAATTTTCTTCTTCCTTTCCCTTCCAAACTTTGAGATGTCTTTTTCAGCGGGGATAATGGTAGAATTCTCTAGAGGGGGAAAAAAAAAGAACAGTGTCTATGAATTCATGTTTCACAAGGTTTAGAGAAAATCCATTGGATGTTAATTATCTATGCAGATTATTTCTAAATTTCTTTTTTATCCGGCTCATAAGGTTGGTTTTCCTTAGTTCAGATTGAAAATAATGATAGCGGTGATCAGTTAGCTGCAGGCTTGTCACATATGTACTATTATATAGGTATGATTCAAAACAAATTGAGACACTTGTGTTTTTTAGAGACTAAATGCTGATTTACTGCGGACAGAAGGCGTTTTCACCAATGTCTTCTGGTTAGTAGCAGTTATCTGAGGAGAGTGTGTTTTCTAATTGACAGCCAGTCCTCAACGGGTTTGGAACCTCCGGCAGCATATGGAGATAGTATTTTCTCTGATGCTATAAAGAACAATATTAACTTTTGCACGAACTAGATAGTGCAAAGTAAATTATTGACTACAAATACAATTAAACAGAAGCCATGTTTCCGAGTAATGAAAGCTGCTGTGTGCTATCAGCTAGCTTTGCAGCCTGCCAAGAGCTTTGTGCAGTGTTGTTCTGTGACCAGGCTTTTGGTGCTTGGGTTCAAAAATGTAACATCGTAAGGCTGTATCTCCTGTGAAGGACAAAACAAAATCATAGGAGGATGAGAGTCTGCTGTAAAGTGTCCAGTCAGAGTGTGTCCCCCAACAGGGAGCAACCTTCTGCACGGCAATCACTGCATTGCAGTATAACTGCGTGCGTCCCCAGCAATTACATCATCTGGGATACATTGGCTGTGGTACTGCCTGACTGCTTCCCATGGCTTACGTTTCTGTTTTGTCAGGAGTTGGTTTTTCTTGCTCAGATACTTAATTTCCAAATGACTTTGAAAGAAAATACAAAGCAACCTTTGAAAGAAAAAAGCAGGTGTTTAATGTTGTCCCTGTAGTTACGCTAGCAGTGTATCTCTACAAACAAATGCATATTCTGCATTGCAGAATATTTCTTTCAGAATGCGAGTTATAATTTTCGTGTTGAAATATTTTATCATGTTTTATAGCAACCTAAAGAAGTTAATGGAGTTTCATTAAAAACAGCAAGCCCGCTCAGAAATATTGCAAAGCTAAATTTAACTTAATTTAGTTAATTAAGTTGATGTAGAAATTAAAGGTTAGGAAACAGTCTGGTAATAGCAGAAGATGGTTGAGAGCGAGTGGCAGGTGCCTTAGAAATAAAATCTTTCTTACATAGCATATTTTTTGCAGAGGATGTTGGAGACGAAGGAGAAGAGGAAAAAGAGTTCATTTCCTACAGTATCAGCACTGACATTCATTATGGAATAAAATCAAACAGGTGAGTTAGTAAAGTAGATCTTGACATTTCTGCCCTATGAGTGCAAATTTACTTGCTCTACTATAAATTTGCCTCCGATTTGCCCAGTGCTTGATGCAGTGTTTTTATTCAGTTGAGGCAATAGGTTTTCAAGGTGGAGGCTCTGATAAAACAAGAGTGTGTCATGAGGCTGAAAAGAATGAACTTAGGACTTCTAGGTCTGAGGTTAAAGAAACAGTCTTATTGAATTGACACATGTAGAAATGTAACATACAGAAATTGGGGTCAGTAATGTTTCGGTTATGTCTGACTCTTGCATTTTTGACTGTGAACGTTCATAAGACGTGTGCCTCTTTAGTGTGCCCATACGCCAGGGTCCTTATTGGTAGCTAAGTTTGGCTGCTTAGGGAAGTATAAAGAGGTATTTGTTGGAAAAATAGTGTTCGGGTCTCTTAGAAAAAAGATTCCAAAGCACGATGATCCATGTTAGCGTTTGACTTCTGTGACCTAAATTTGCAGTTGTATTAAAGCTATTCTGTCATTTAAGTTTCACGTTTAGTTGATAACTCTCCTCTTTGTTCTGCAGCCTGGCATTCATTAAGCGTACGCCGGTGATTGATGCCGACAAACCAGTGTCTTCCCAGCTGAGAGTGCTCACTCTCAGTGAAGATTCTCCCTATGAGACATT